AAAAATGAAAACTTAACAAAAAATTGTGGGAGCATCACAATTTTAATGTGCGCAACACAGACTGTGCAGGAGAGTGACCGAATCCAGCTATTGTATAAACTTAACACTGACCCAGAGCAAAACAACACCACTTTTGTTTTTTCTTTCTAAAATCACTATTAAATTGTTAATTATCATACATTTTCTACATTCTTGCCTAAGATTCCATACAGGCTAGTACAACACTGAGCCATTTCCATTGACCGTTGCACTGCACAAATCGACTGTAGTCGATTTTATAATTATTGTGCTACACTGCAAAAATTGACTGTTGTACACATAATTATTTCCTGCTTAAATCAATTATGTTCCAAGAGTTTGAATGCACTGTCAGCCCTGGGTTGTGCTGCCATCTTTTGGCAAGAGGCACAACCACAACACAAACATGCAGAGTTGCAGACGATGCCTGATGCCTGAGCCAAGCTATTGCCGACTGTCATATGAGAGTTTTTATCGCCAACCATCTGAATAAATAAGGTAAGTTTTATTTTTTTTTATTTGAGGATAGGCAGTGTAATTATGTCAAGTATGAAAATAGTATACCGGAACTGCACGTATATAAAAGAAGGAATACCGTTGAACTACTGCTGTTTTTGGCTTCCCAATTTTTGTAGTAACTGAGGCATATTTTTACTGACTAAATACCATTTTTTTTCTACTGGCATGTGTTTGTACTGAATTCATCTCCCTTCACACAGCCATGTTTAGAAAGTAAACAAACCATTTAAGCTTTGTTTGGTGAATTTTGGTGGCCTCCTGTCCCTAACCCCTTATTATGCATCTTTTTGTGTATTGAGTTGCTTGCATTTTTATACAGCCTTTTTTTTTCACAAATGTTCTTAGTCCTCATCTCACAAACTAACCTGAGGCTATGTATCAGAACAAAGATAATTAAAGAGTTATGTATTTCTTGCCCAAAATAAAATCTTCAAAACAAGGTGACTAATTTATATACCTTTGTTATCTTCATCAGCACATGCAACCAACCATTCTCCATCTTTTATATAAGTTAACTTTTCATCTTCTCTAAAACTGCCACAAAAATCTTTAAAATATTTTGTTTCCAATTTGTATATTTTCATCTAAATTTTATATTCAGGATTCTCTCATTGTGTTCCTAAAGGAGGCCAGCTGTACAGTACTGTATTAGTGACACCATTATAAGTGAATGTGGTTCATTATAGTTGAGGAGCAGGGTTATATTTCCACTTACAGTACAATCAGAGTTCCTCTATTGATATATTTTTTGTTATTACTCATTACCTGTGGTCTGGCATGTAATAAAGTACAGTACAGTATTGTAATCAAACTACTGGTGGCAGGAATTTGAATTACACAAGTGGTCACTACACTCGACTGGTCTTACTGTATAAACCATTGTAAATTTGGAGAGATCAAATTAAAGTGGTCAGACTATGGAAGCAGTTTTGGTACATAGGTGATTGTATTAACAGGTTTCACTGTACCATGGAGAAGGCTATAGGATTCAACCTATTACTGAAATCTAACAAATACTCTAACTACTATAATTCACTAAATGTAGTTCAGTCATAAACTACTCACATTTACTTTATGCATGCACAAAGTCATTACAATAATATATTTAAAGCACTACTCTTGTATTAACAATGGGTGACACAAGCCAATATATCTCCATTCACAAAGTTACATGCTATAGTAAGATAACATTCACTCATTGTGCAAATCAAAACAGAAAGCACAGGATTATTGATATATGCTACAGTTTCTATCAATTTTAATGATGTTGACTGTAAAAAAAGGATTGCTTTAGAAATTAAGAAAAATGGATTCATACTGATATTACAATGACTTGAGAATACTGTATACCCAACATTTCTATGGGTTTAGGACCCAGAGAAACCCTAAGCTCAATGGCTGGAGTTTATTGTTTGGTCAGCCATCTCCCTCTCAATAGCCCAAGCCCTTATGAAAAGGGGTCTGAGCAGCCATAGTTGCTTAAAAGCTGAGACCTAATGAGTCACAACATCACATCGGACATGTGCTACCTGTTCTTCACTTGCCAGGATCAATTTCAGAACAGAATGCAGAACCAACTTTACACCCAACAGACAGACTTTAATGGAACACCCCAAGAAAGAGGAGGACAGGATCCAAAGTGTTGTTTCCAGGCCCACTTATAAAAATGGTTAAAACCATCCAATTATTGTACATATATTTATGTGCTTGTGCTACGTTTTTGGGCCTCTAAAAATTTCCATAGGAATGCATCTCAACTTATATTATGGAAGTTCATTGGGAAAAAATTGTTTCACTTTATGGAAAGATCTTCAGGAATGGAACCCTTCCGTAACCTGGGGGTTGATTGTATATAGTACAGCACAGTTTATAATTTTTCTAATATACACCACAAGCTCTTCAAAAATGAGGCTCCACATACTAAGGGTCTAGACATCACTGTTCACTACCATTATTCAACACAAGATGCTCCCAGACACATGTGTCAGCTCCTCAGCAAATTCTGATGTTACATATAAAATATGAAAATAAATTTGTATCTATGAGAATCTGTAGTCCCATACAGTATATACTACTGTATCAACAAAACAGAGTACAGTGGTCCCTCGGTTAACGAACACAATTCATTCCAGAAGGTCATTCGTTAACCAAAATTTTTTTTAACCAAATCCATTGTTTCAATGGGATATTGGGTAATTGGTTCCAGCTCACTGAAAAGTACATACAAAGTAAAAAAAAATGCAGTAAAGTACACTTACTTTGAAGTGTGTATGTAGAAGGTTCCTGGTTGATGATGATGATGGGAATTAGAAGTGAGGGTGGAGGAGAAGGGAGAAGAGAAGGAAGTGGGGATGGAGGAGAAATCACCTTTCAGGGGACCCATGCTTGATGCAGTAATTTCACCAATAAAATTTTAAGTTCACTAGGTGTAATTCAAGATTATTTTCTATAAATCAACACTGCACTGCACTATATATTATCACTATGTTAACTAAATTTCAGAATGACCCATAATTTCAATGAAAAATGCAAAAATATTCAAGACACCAACAAAATGGATGTTCACTCCACTGTTTTCAAAGCCCAACTGACACCTTGTGGCTGAGTCAAGCTGCTGATGGGCGCACAAAAAACTAGTTCCCTGTACTGCATATATTATCAATATGTAAAATAAATGTTAAAATGACTATTAATTTTAATATAAAAAAGGCAAAAATATTAAAGAGAGCAACTTTATTGATATTTACTCCACTGGAAACAAATGTAAACATAGAACAGATTACTGAATTGGCAGACTAGCCCATCAGCTGATCAGCTGATGCTCACAACAAAACGTGATTTTCGCAAGGATTTCATTAATCAAATTTTTGTTCGTTAACTGAATTGAAGATTCTTATGGAAGGTAATTTGTTAACCGAAATTTCGTTAACCGAACCGTTCGTTAACTGAGGGACCACTGTACAGTAAAGGCAAGAAATAACCACCCAATCACTTCATTTGTAGTCCCATACTGGAAAATAGTAAAAATCCCTTGAACTCTTAAAAAAATGGGGGTTCCAGTCCATGTAACACAACATTTCATAAAGAAAAGAAATGGGGCAAAATCGTTAACTTCTTCCTTGATCTGGCTAGAGTAGCTGTACGTGAGAAATGGACAAATTCACTCCATCTCTGGTAAACCTGAGCACCAATGAGGACAAAGGGACTTTCAAAATATCATTAGATAAAGGAAAATTCCACCTGACCAATAATTTTCAATACAATAAAGCAGAAACAGTTGGAAAATCCCCAACAGGGTCAAGTACAGTAATAAGCAATAGTTTTGTGGTGCTGAGAAGAAAAAGAGACACCCATTTTATATTTTATATGTATTATTTTCGCATTTTCGACTTACGACCAATTCGACTTACGACCCGGATTTAGGTCCCTAACCCCGTCGTAAGTCGGGGACTGCCTGTACAGGCATTCATCAGTTAACATAAAATGACCCCTTTTAGAGCTGATTCAGTTAACAGTCTTTTCCAGGAACACATTCTGAGCACTAAGCAGGGATTACTGTACACCACTACAATGTGCACTATCACTTGGCCACTTATTGGGTGACAATGACAATAAAAATGCTAAAATAAAAGATAAATAAGAAAAGGACAAAGCAACTGGTCAATACTGGCAATAAGAAAACAGAGCAGCAATCTTTAGACACTCGTACACTATTTTGACAGGAATTTTGAAGGCACCATCATTCACATTTTGGATGTTTTTGGACTTTGGATTTCTGGACTGGAGATCATGTATACTGTATAACAGGTATATTGTATGTGGGACAAGAGCCACTGCCAACTACAGAGAAACAAAATGAAGAAATCAAATCAATGTTTAGCCTTTTAAATTTCATAAAGAGCAGAGGAGGGTGTGAAAAAACAGCAAGAAATATGTGAAGAACTAAACTCCTATGATCCTGGCTTATGATAATGGGTTACAAAAAATGTGAACAGGCTTTTAGATGCATTGTCAGATCATGGTTAATGTTCTGCTCTCATCTATTATTGATTCACCTGGCAAGTAAATGTTATTGTAGTCTTATTACTAATCAGTTTAGAACATTGTCTCTCCCTTAAGGACAGTCAGACCCCCAGATAAGGTAGACTGTTCCGAGGGGATGTTCTGTAAGGGGGAATCGTATCGGTCACTCAATGGAAGTCCCACAGGCCACAAAAATCTCCTTGCTGCTATAAATCTACCTAATGTGCTTATCAGTAGACTCTGCCCTAATTTTATTTGAATTCAAAATTATATAACATGTAACAATGATTTAAGTCACTTTTAAGTTTACAAAGTTGATATATAATTCATGAGGCGAAAATCAGTGAACACGTGCTACAGTATTAGAGATTTGCAACAACTTATTATCAACACAAATCCTCATCTTTACAAAAGCAGAAATGACTTAGGTTTAAACTTACCCTTAATGGTGGGAGGAGACAAGAGTGCCGAGTTTATGTGCAATAGAAACAAAAGTAGAGTCTGCCACGTGTCTTCACTCAGGCATGGAGAATTCTGAGCAATATTCTGCAGTGTTCGCAGCACACGGTGACACAGAACAGCTTGTCGGTTTATAACATCAGGTCCTGAGAACAAACACAAATCCACATTTAGGTTAATGTGCATCTAATAACCTTACAGTTGAGAACTTTTCCTTCTTTTTTGGATGGGGAGAATATTAATTTTTATTTCTTTTCGTCTATCAGTGAAATATCAGTACATATAGGCTAGATAGATTCTGGAATGCTGGAAAGTTTTAAAAGGAGGCTAGATAGATTCATGGATGATAGAGAGTGGTAGTAATTCTCAACAGGAGCTGCCACGCACAGGCTAACCGGCCAATTGCAGACTCCTTATTTTCTTATGTAATAATATAAATAGTAAATTACAATTTTCTTTTCCTTCAAATAAATAATTTTAAATTTCTAGTACAGGTATCCCACACGTTACGGAAACTCAGGTTGTGGAAATTCACCCATAAGGAATTTTACAATTTTGATCACTAAATTCGGGGTATGGCCCGTAAGGGAGGGAGGGATGGTCAGTGTCACCTATCAAAACAGCACTACTGTACATATACCTGCATCTGTGTTAGACAAATAAGACTTGTGATACAGTACATCACTGGCAATGACCATTATATGATGGATCAATATACGCTTGATCAGTTTTACAATGTTAAAAAATTAACACCATTCACCACTATGCGATGGATAAAGATCAGTCTTACGATGGTCGCTACCCAAATGTTTTTCCTGCATTGTCATTACTATGAAAAAGTGATGCGTAATAACTCACAATATTCCCAGATATGATGATGCAATCTCAGAATGGCACAACACATGCGACCCACACGGGGTACGTGGAAGGTTCTGCCCGTTCCCAGCGACTGCCGGGCTAAGCAGTTGAACTGTGTCACATCACACCAGAGGATGGTTTCCATATGGAAGAAGCTATTTTTGTACATAAAACAATATATACTGTATGTGAGGAATATATAAAAACAATACCATAATAAATAAAAGAAAAGAAAAAATACTGAATTGCCATTTGGCAATCTTGTCACTGTCACGAGACAGCAGAGACATGAACGCCGCTCCATCTCCCTCATTCTCTTGTGCTCTCTTGTGTTTCTGTCCTTATGATATTTTTTTTCACATACAGTACAGTATGAATGATTGTGTGTGCATGTAACAGGGTAAAAAAAAAAATTGAAGAAAATTATGTACCTGTATATCTACTCGAATACACGAGTTGAAAAATAACAATAACACAGCTCACAGTCTGACTGAGATCCCAACGCAGAAACCCCCACTCGCTCCCACAATCCTCACTAACTCGGGGACTTAAGAAATTTGTGTTCATTTTATGTTTTTGACCTCATTATAACCTTTTCTTTTCTCTTTTTTTGCAAATTCTGTATGAATGTCTGTGTGTGCATGTAACAAAGTTAAAAAAAAAAAAAGAAATCAAGAATATTACGTACGTCTACCTGAAATTACTTGTAGTGGCAGCCGGGAATTGCAACTTACTACTGTACACGTTCATATCATGTATGGTAAATGAATATAAATCTTAAATGTTCTTTATTTTGTATAATTTTTTTATTTTGTCTTTTCATTAATTATTTGAGTTATTGAGATATTATTTAATCATCATAGCAGCAGGATATAAAACTTGTTTGGTCTTTTCAGTGGCTCAGGAACGGAACCTATTTTTCCCCATATTATCAACATCGATAGCATACGATTGATCACTTATTGACTGCTTTCCGAGGTCCCTTACCCCATCGTATAACGGTTATTGCCTGTACAGTACAGTATGCGAAAAAAATTTGGCAGCATAAAATATCTATACAGGGGGTCCCCGATTTACGAATGTCTGACTTACAAATGCCCGCCAATACAAACGGGGTTAAACTAGAATTTTACAGTATTTTATTTACCTGATGACTTATATTTTATTTTCATTTACTGTATGTTGTCATTTTATTTCTTATTTTGTCTTAAATTAAGTGATTTTAGATGTATATAAGGACTTAGGCTATGATATAGTGGAAATTTAAACATTGTTCTGTAAGTACAGTATGCACTAGCATGTGTTCCGACTTACATACAAATCTGACTGTACTGTACCTGTATACAGTACATAAATTTACACACACACATATGTACTGTATTTGCAATTAATACTTGCCTTGGGCTCCTCTGGGTACAAAGAGATAGTAAAAATGGTTAATTATTATCCTGGCATAGTGATTTGGATCACTAAGGATTGGGCCAGGAACACTGCTCTTGGGATTTGGCAAAAGTGCAGAGAGCCATTCACAGTAGACGCTCACACAGTCTCTCAGGATGTCTATTTCTGAGAGTGGAAAACTCAATCCATGGCCAAGGGCCTGAAAAAGAACAAAATATCAACAATACTGAATAACTGTAAGTTGCAATTCCATTCGAGATGTATAAATACAACACAGTGTACTTAATGTCCAAAATTGTAATCTGCAGCCTTATGGTCCATGCAGCGACAAACATGCTGAATGACTATAAATATTCATATTAATTTTTTATTATTATGTAAACTATGGTGGCAGTGCATGTAGAAACTTTTCCAATTAATTGGTCACTATATACCCAATATATGTCTTGTGCAGAACATAACTGAAGGGCAAAGAAAAGTGAACTGGGTACAAGTAAAACGATATTAGTCAGGAGTGTCTGTTAGAGTTAAGGTGATAGAATGTGTGGCAATGTTGTTGAAATATAAAAAAAGGAGGAGTGTGATCGAACATAGGGGATCAGTTCCAGGATTCTATGCATCGGAGGAAAGAGCAAGGTGCTGATGAGGATTGACTAACTGTATTAAAAGCATTGGTGTTGTAAAATAGCGTGATAGTGATGGGAGACTTAAATGTAGGATTTAGTGACAGGGAAACAGTAGGATGTATGAAGCATCGCAAATGAATGAAATTGGAAAGAAACTGAAAAAAATGTGCGATGAGAGAGTGTTGACAGTGGGTAATACAGTACACAAATACCCCAGTCATTGCAAGGGATGCATACCTGAAGGTCATTGCGATTAATGAAACTGCATATATCGGAGCAGTTTCCCCCATAAGAATTAATTTAAATGGGGGGGGGTACATTCCCAGCCGGCAATTTTAATCACATATTTTTCGATATATACCACACTTCTGTGACCACCAGACACCACCACCCACCACCACCACACTCCCATGACTACCAGCCACCACTACCTCACACTACCCACCACCACCACCACACTTCCATGACCGCCTACCACCACCACACTCCCATGACTACCACCACCACACTCCCATGACCACCTGCCACCACTACCTCACACTACCCACCACCACCACACTCCCATGACCACCTACCACCACTACCTCACACCATCTACACCCACACCACCCTGTCATAAGAAATTATTACCCCCATTTTAGATTTTCTATGTATTATTTAAGCATTTTCGACTTACGACCTGGATGTCGGTCTCTAACCCCGTCGTAAGTCAGGGAGCAGCTGTATATCTACTTGAAACTACAACTTAAAAAAATTAACAACAACGCAACTCAAAGGTTGGCACAGTAGGGGGAGAGGTAAGGTGATGTAGCGACTTATGTACAAATCCGACTTAAGAACGTCCTCAGGTACGGAACCCGTTCGTAACCCGGGGACCTCCTGGATTAACACCAAACATGTCACTATAGCCACATCCCCTTAGCCCTCCCCCTATCACTCCAGCCCAAGCTGTCAGCTATGTTATGGTTACAGTATTTTTCAACTCGTAATTTGAGGCAGGTATTTCGTGTTTTATGGGCGTTTGATTTAAGCTTTTTTGGAATAATGCGATTGTTCAATTAATACCAAAAGCTAATCTATGCGCACCTATTTTTTAAATAACGCTCTCAAGACACTTTAAATTTGCCGCGCGTATTCGCCTGGTCGCCTGTCAGTGGAGTCGGGTGTGATGCCTGGTGAGGTGCTTGTAAGCTAATACTATAAAGTCGCAGTCATATCAACATCAACAATGTTGATATTATTATTAATAATAATAATTATTATAATAATGTAATAATAAAGATTATTACTACTAATGATGAAGATAATGAAGTATTCTGTACAACAACTGTGACGACGTCCAGCAAGCTTCCCGTGTATCGCTTTCTCAGTTCACACCAGCACTACCTCTTCTCTGTGCTCTCATTTGCATTGTGTGCTTATAACGTATCTTTTTAGTGTTAAACGCTGTTTTCCCCATTGAGCATGTCTGGAAAGCGTCCATCTGCCTCCTCTGGAGCATCTAAAGCTAAAAAGGCACGAAAAAAAATTGCAATGGACGTGAAATTAAATGTGGTCACCCGCCTTCAGAGAGGAGGGGGAGTGTCGGAGGTTGGCCATGTGATTGGTTGAAGTGAGATCACTGTTCGTACCCTGTGTGGCATATAATGGTTCCCCTAACCTATACTATTTACATGTATTCTTATGCAAAAATTATGTTAATTTTATGCATTTTTTATAAGCGGTGGTTTTTAAAGAAAGTAACCCCTGCGTAAAACGAGAGGTGGGTATACTGTACAGCTCCTCCCCGACTTACGACGGGGTTAGGGACCCAAATCCAGGTCGTAAGTCAGAAATGCTTAAATAATACATAGAAAATCTAAAATAGGTGTCTCTTTTTCTTCTCAGCACCACAAAACACTCACTTTTAAGCTTGCCAGCCATTTTAAAGTGAATTACAAACGAAAATTTTGTCGGTGTACTGACTTTGGGACTTGAAAATACGTAATTTGACCAAATTTTGGTACAACTGAGGCAAGTCGTAAGTGCGGGTGGTCGTAAGTCGGGGAGGAGCTGTATATTAATAATATATGTATTTTTTTTAATATAGCTGGAGAGGGTGAGGGGTGACGAATCTCAGCTGTTCTGAACTGTCTAATATATAAAAGATTGACAAATTTTATCATCCAGCAGCCAAATGGCAATACAGTAGAGTATTTTGTTTATTTATTTTATTTATTGGTATTATTTTTATTTAGTCCTCACATGATAAATTGACTGGTATACAGTACAGTATAGTACAGTATACATTATTTTATCTTATTCCTCATAAGATTTGGTAACTGGCTGGAATTCAGTTTATGTCTAGGATTATGCTCAGTATTTTTCAAAAGCTAGGGTCGAATTATACAAGAGATATATGAAAAACTCAGTCTTGTTTATGTATGCATGAGTAATATATGGTCTGTATTGATGGACAGAAGGCTAAACTGTATACAATGATTGAAGTGAATCTACTGATTGGTGACACAGAGCATCAGACCACCACTTAGTAAAAATTATATTAGTAGTAAATGAAAAGTTCAGGGTGAGAGAGGTTCAGAGAAGTGAGAATAAGGTTATGTAAAAGTTGAAGAGCAGATGAAAGAGACATTGGCTGATACTTAAATTACCGAGAAGACAGTTGAAGGGTGCAATTGAGGAGTGTGGGCACAGGGAATGGATGGTGAGTTGAGACAAGAGAAGGGCATATGAGTACCAGATGAAGCAAAGGAAGGAAGTGATTTTCTATACTTATATTACAAACCATAATATGTTGTATTGTTGAAGTGATCCATCAGTCTCATACACTCTAATAGCAATATAATGCTTATTATAGTCATAACATATTATCACTTTTATTTCTGTAGATTTACTATTACTGATTAGCAACCAAGTCTAAGGATCTTAATGGAAATAAGCATGTGATGAATTTGTTGGCTATCCTTCATCAAATTGCCTTACTGATTACTATTGTTTGTATACTGTACTTGCACTGTCTAGGTACATTGGAAACTGTATATCTGCAGTCTCTGTACACTGTGTACAGTACATTGCCTATATGCATGTTGAACTGTTTATTAAAGAAAACTGAAAATTCTCCAAAACCTTGATAATGGTTAGCCAGCAAGTATACTTTGTGACCATTATGGTGTAGGAACCACAGTTTATGGCTTAAGTAGAAACAAGTCAAATTACTTATGTTTTAAGCTGACAGCAAATCACATACAACCATGTGCAAAAGATAAAACCTCAGTAATTCCAAAGCAGCCAGAGTGAGTTTGATTATTCAAACAGCAGGAGTCGCCATTATTGCTCCAAGATGCTCTAGAAGCATACAGCAGCCAGGTGACTCCACCCTTCACTTCTTCATCCCTAATTTTTTACTAAAAATATTACTGTACAAATACTGTATTCTAAAACCTTGGTTTATACACAGGCATATATATGTACTGTACATGCTAAAAATTTTAATTGGACTTGGTTTCAGTCTTGGAGTAGGAAGGCAGGTCTCAAACAGAGTGGTCTCAGCTATATCACTTGTCCTAACCTCATAATCCTTTATTGTCCTAAGTGATTTATGTAACAAGAGATCTCAGACTATGAACCACTGAGCAGAGATGTGCACTGAGAATTTTCATCCAAGATATTTCTAAGGCCCCTTGGCACTGGTGAAGCTAACTGACTCTTAAATAGAAATAAAAGTCTACACCATTACAAAAATAATGCTGTCAATTTAAGTTCAGTAGTAACTCAATCAGAGGGATTAAGTTTTGGTAAAAATCCTTGGAGATTCATAATTTGCTAATCCACATATAACCATAAAAGTATAAAAAGGTCTTCAAATAATTTCTTAATTTTGTACATTAATATACTAGAAGTACCTAAATTTGTGTAAAACAGATTACATAACATATAAATATATACAGTAGCTACAGTATGCCATAATAACTAAACAAAAAACAAGGTGGTATATTTACAGGCATGAGCACTTGGAGCTGTTTATCATGAACAATTTTGCTCTTGATGGGTGGTCCAGGTTTGGTGAGGCCAAGACTTCCAGCAAGGTGCTTGGCTGTGCCTGCCACAAAATCCCGTCCAACTGTCCATGGTATTGCATCCTGAAGTTTAAATAATACTGTACATACATACTATGGAATCAAGTACAAATGTTGTGGTGCACTTCAAACTGGTAAATCAAGTATCATCAATTCCAAACATACATAAAATAGTCAGGAAAGTTATCATTCTCAGAAGCACACACCTTTTGAAAATCCAGATTATGGAATTTAATTTTTCTTATGGCTTGTCGAAATATAAAAATTATTGAATGCTACTCATTAGTTTACCTGGAAAATGAAAAAAATACCATTTTAGTTTTTGATAAAATATCAAATGTCACCATTATCCCACATCAATCATGCATATGTAACAGAGATTAGGGCAGCAACCTGCAGTATTTCCTGTGGAATTAACTTATCCAGCCTTTCACTGAGATTATTGCTTACCTTAAAAGCACTGATGGCAGCTTCATCTCCCCAACCCTGCTGAGGCACCAGCTCTGAGGGCCAGTCACTGAACATCCTCAGCTCTTACATTAACACCTAAATAAACTTGCCATCTAATACATTCTGTGAAAAAAAAAAAATGTAGCATCATGTCACTTAGAGAAAGGTAAGACATTAAACTTTTGTAAACATAGCAAAACTGTTCTAGCTATAACCTAAGCAGTACTTAATTGGATAACATCGCCTTTACTTTTTTCTTCTTTTTTTTCTTTTTACGGGGAATAGCTCCCAGGCACACATCATTGACCCACAATGGGGCTTACGGGGGGGGGGATAAAAATAAAAAAGAGTACTGTAATAAACAAAATAAAAATTAGAGGAGAATAAGACAATGTCAATATACACCACGTAGATGCCCAGAAAACCAGCTTTTTGAAGTGAGACAGATTGTAAGAGGATGGAAACACAAAAGAGAGCAGACTATTCCACAGTTTGGTTGTGTGAGAAAAGAAGGACGTACTATAACGGGTTATTCTAGTGTGGCCGACATCCACCATTGGTTGTGTTTCAGAGAAAATCTGCAGGTGTTCAAAAAAGTTACCAAAGCTTTGCTTCCTGTGATATGGAAGTCACATCGAAAGGCATGGATTAGAAGGCAGATCTTCTGTGACTGGTTCGTTGAGTACTTTTTGCCAGAGACGAAGAAATAGTGTGAAGTGAACAATATTGGTTTCAAAATTCTTTTACTTTTGGACAAAGCCAATGCACATGTGCTTGACTTTGAGAGTATGTCTCCAAATGTGAAAGTAGTCTTTGTGCCACCGAGAACATCATCAGTGATGTAACCCATGGATATGGGGATTATTACAGTACAGGTGTAGTTGTTTTAAGGCGTATTATCTACGACATACTTTCAAGAAATTAATCTCTGAAACTGATGCTAATCAAGTGACAGTGCAAGAATTTTGGGAAAAAATTTAATATTTTGCATTGTGTGCAACTACTCGGTCAAGTTGGAAAGAAATTTCACCTCCACTCATGAATGGTTGCTGGAAGAATTTATATCCTGAAGCTGTTCATTCTTTTGAAGGCTTTGATGTTACCCAAATGCACACTGAGATTCCATGTCTAGCAAATGATGCAGGCTTTAATGATGTTGCCAAAAATGACGATCAAGAATTGCTACAGTCTCATGCTTTACCATTATCGAACGAGGAGTTGGCTGAGTTAGACAAACAAACATAAGATGAATGAAGAGGTGAAGATGCTGACATTACTGCCTTTTTAGAAGAAAGTGAAGGATTAACAATGAAAGGTACTAGAGAAGCCAGTAATTATTTACGATTTCACAGCCGCCAATTTTTCACAGAAAACGAATTTAAAAATGCCACAATTTCACTGTTTTATAGTGCACACTGTCTTAGTTATGGCAAATGTGTTAAAAAGTGTTTATATAAAATTTCAAGTTAACCTAACCTAACCTTAAACTAACCTAACCTCAAACTAACCTAACCTTAACCTAACCTAGCATAACTTAACACCTGCAGTGGGCAAACTTGCTGTACTATTACTGAGACGGGGAAAACGGTGAGCCACAGCATTGAGGAAGTAACGAATGATTTTTTTACTTTGAAGTCAAACCCAGTTCAATTTCAGAGTATCGCTATGAAAAGTACTTCCTCACGAACACGTTCATTAATAAGAGTATAACACTGGGTTTAATCTTGACAGTTTCCAGTCAAGTTCCCTTCAACAATATGGAACCGTAGCCACAATGCTTCAGCTTCTTGTATTTATCAACTTTTTTCCATTACACTGGTAAATATTAGTGTCTGAGCGGTGAACACAAGGATTCCCACAGTTTGGGCAGTCTCTTTTGGGGGGAAGAATGCAGTGGTTTGTAAAAATCTGAAGGGACAGATTATCTTTCCCACAGAATTCACTAATAGTGTCCATATACAAACTGCAACATCCTTCACATGCCATGGTGAAATTTGAACTGGCTGAGCAGAGAGCTATAGCTCAGCTTGTGTGGAGTGTGATTGGCCGGGTACCATTGTATAACCGCCGAGAAAGACAAAAGTACTGCATGCCTATTCGTCAAACTATTTACCAAACAAAGCAATTTCCACAAAAAATATTATTATATCAGAACTCCCTGATGAAAATATAGCAAGACTATAAACACTAAAACAAATAACTCGTCGGTTGTGAAGTTCTCCAAGTTAGCCAAGAAGGCTTCACAAAAGTTGATGAAGTTGTGGATTATTTTAAGAAGAATGACTCTCTCTACAATGGTGCTGCTAAAGTTGAACATGAAGTGAGTGATGTGTTAGCCTGCTAGTCTGCAATTTTACAAGAAAAAGTTATCAAAAAGTATTTGTTGGGAACAAACAACTCTTGACTTCTTTGTGTGACGCAAAATAATCATGGTATATATTCGTCCATTGACTATCCTCAGATGTTAGTGCGAGAATAAGTTTTTTGACATTTTTCGGTGTGTTTTACTCAAATCTGATCTTCATTTCATTTGCAAAATAGCAGTTTTTGCAAAAAATCAAAATTTTCATTTTTAACAGAAACTGCTAATTTGCACAAAAATAGAGGTCAAATAAGAGTAAAACACCAAAAATACACACAAAAAACTATTCTCATACAAAGGAACCAACCAACCTACTGTACCTTACCTACAAGGAGGAGGGGGTAAGGAGACAACTGACTCTAAGTGAGGAGCAAAGCCTCAGGTAAACATGGCGGGAACCTCTGCACAGCCAATGGATGAATATTATCCCAAAAAAACAAACTACATTATTCTCATACCAAAGGAACCAACCTACCTAACCTAACCTACAAGGAGGAGGAAAAGAGAAAAGTAATTCAAAGTGAGGAGTATAGTCTCACGTAAAGATGGCAGGAACCTGCAGACAACCAATGGACGAATATTAACCACAATCACAGAAGAAAGTTAATATATAGGACTAACTTGCGGACGAGTTATTTTTATTATTGTTTTTCTTACATTATTTTCATCAATGGGTTCTGATATGATAATCACTTATTGTGCAAATTTTTTGTTTCATGGATAATTAGGCGCCTAGGCGCGCACTAGTTTGTCTTCCGGGCGGCAATGAGGCCCGGAACTGCACCCGGGAAAGTTTGCTTTTCAGCATGTCGTGTGAAGGTTGTCGCCAGTCTTACATGGACTAATTTGTGAATTTAGAGATAACTAAAACGAGACCCTACGATTGTTCAAAGACCACGGCATTGTTCCATTACATAGAAACTGTCCATACTGCGGGAATTCCTGTACTTTCAGACCGGAAAGAAATTTGTTTCAATGTATAATAAGAAAATTATAAACAGGAAAAACTTGCGGCTGGAGCATTGTGGCTACAGTTCCAGTCCATACAAAGGAACTTGGCTTGAAACTGCCAAGATTCAGTCCAGTGCTTTGATTTTATATATTAAACATTTTTTACTTTAAAGTATTTTACACATAAATATTGTGAAATAACACTTCCTCAACGCTGTGGCTCGACATTTCTCACCATCACGGTAAATCACTCAGCCGCCCGGGCTCCTTAGCGTCGATGAGCCCGCATCATCTCACGTCCAGAAAATGCCTCAAATTTCACCATATCATAGTAAGTTCTTTCTGTTTAATATACCAGGGGGTCCAGGGGGCTGTGAGATTGTTAGGCAGGTTTGTTTGGTTTGTTTGGTTAGGTCTGTTCTTCATACCCACAAATGTTAAGTAACGATTATTTTAAAAATATAAATTGTTTAACACCTTTGCACAAACTACAACAGTGTCCACTATACAACAACAGTGGAAATCCGGTGTTTTTCTAATCGTTTTCAATCAGTTTCGGCAGCGGGTTAGTCCTATATAAGAACCTGAACTAGAGCCAGGTCCTTCAGGTGTAGAGCCAGAGGAAGAGAGGAGGTCAGATCAGGTCCTTCTGGTGTCTCTGGTTGGGAGGTTTCGTTATGTTTCGTTTCGTCATATTTTTGTGTATTTTCACCCCACAATTTCCCTCTACTTCTAAGCCTTGCCCACTTAGTACCATTCGTATTAAACACGATGAAACACACTACAAACTCTTTTTTTCCATAGTAATTCCCGTGTATGGCAGCTTCTAATGATTTACCCTGACTTGGGTGGCTATTGGGTTAATAAGGTTGGTAAATAAAGTAAACAAGAGAGGTTAATGGAGCCCTGACTTACATGGTCTGGTGACGTCACACAACAACAACAGTGGGTGACGCCTCCAAGACAACAGAGAACACGGGCACATTATATTGTTTTAGAAAGTTTATGTCTAGTTCATTAATTCAATAATTACTCATATATATTGACTTAAAAATAAATACTTTCAATAAGTATTTTTATTGTTTTTTTTAAACGTTTGTTAGCTAATAAAAATTTATTTACACCAGCACTCTCAAGAAAAGTAAAATTTGACAACCTTTGTGAAGACATTACCCTGTGAACAACGTTGTGAAGAATTGGTGACTATTAAAGTCGACTACAGAGGACAAGTGTGTTTCTGTGCCCTGGTGGAAATCTACCTGCCTGCTGTTTGTACACTGATACCGATCGTCGGGGAATTACCGGAGACTGGCGGGACAGCCAGAGGTAATTCGACACTAGTGAAATATCTACTGCTCCTGTACATACGACCCTGGCCGTTGATAACCAGTGATGGAAGCTGGGTGAGCGGTGAAAGGATGAGGGGTTCGTAACACTGGTGTTAGGAGTGGGATAGCCTAGCGGTGAGATATTAGTCAAGATGGAAGGTGACGGTCTCCAGACCAGAAGCCAGGCCAGGCCAGGCAAGGGGAGAGTCCATGGCTGATCTGATGCAATTCTTACACGCACAATGAGAAGAACAGAAGGAGCAACAAACAAAGTTGCAAGAACAGCTACAATCACAACGAGAGAACAGAAACAATTACTGCAAGAACAACGAGAAAAGCAGAAACAGGAAAATGTGCAACTGCAAGTGAAAATTCGAAAACAACAACAGGAACAGAGAGAAAAACATAAACAATTACTGAAAGAACAGAGAGAAGAACAGCAGCGATAACTACAGCAGCTGCAGAAAGAGATCGACAAGAAA